CTGACTGCTCTTGTAGAGGACCCGAATTTGATTCCCAGCATCCATCCATATGGCGGCTACAAACCGTCCTTAACTCCAGTTCCAGGGTAATCCGAAGCCCACCTCTGACCTCCGTGGCATTGCATGACACGGGTGCACTCACATACATGCAGGCAATACACTCATACACATAAAATAAAAATAATAAATAAAATATTTTTAAAAAGACATCATGTCATACCATAACTCAAAAATGAGTATCACTCTCTTGGGGCTGGAGAGATGGCTCAGCAGTTAAGAACCCTGGCTGTTCTTACAATGGACCTGGGTTCAGTTCCCAACATCCACATGGCAGCTAACAACTGTCAGTTCCAGAGGATCTGATGCTCTCTTTTGACCTCCACCGGCATTGCATGACATGGATGCACTTAATATACATGTAGGCAATATACTCAATCACATACAATAAAAACAATAACTAAACTTTTTAAAAAGAGCACCAGGCTCATGTTCTTATGAACATACCTTATATGAAATTTACACACATCTGATTCCCTTATCATCTGCAATATTGAACTTTTAAATAAATGACAAATTACCCAGATGGCCATAAGAAACCAACTGTCAAATTTAACAAATTATTCTTGATTCAAATTGCTTTTTGTCAAAGGAGAAATAAATAGGTAAATGCGCTGAAAGAGGCATACCCTATGTCATTGCCTCCTCTCTTCTCAGGGCTAACCTCTACCCAGAGCTGGAAAGTCTCCTCAATCAGGCTGCTAGAATTTTGCTTTGCTTTTCACATTTCTGAAATCTGTCTTGTTTTTTTTTTTTTTTTTCCTTTGTGTGAGTATGCTGGGGCTAGAATCCTCGCTAGGCAATGCTTCATCATTTAACTGTGTCCTCAGCCCCTACATTGTTGTTTCAGTACTTTAAATTTTCTCTTTACTAATATCACATTTATTTTTTTTTTCAATTTAACTTTTTCAGGTGATATTATGCCATCAGGATTTACTCATGTTGTTATAGCTACTTTATTGCATTATGCCCATGTTATCCCTTATTGAGAAATAATTCAGATTTCAATTTTTGAATAAGTACATAACTCCTTATAATTACGCTCTAGATTATCTATTTTAGAAGAACAATGTCAGCATTTTCTACTTCTCCTGAGTGTATTCAACTTAGTAATCATTTGCAATATATTTTTAATTTTAAGACAGTTCCACGCAGTCCAGACTAGCCTGGGACTCCTAATCCTCTGCCTCCATCTCTTAGATACTGTGATTGCAGGTATGAGCTTCAAATATTTTTAAGTAGAATATTCAGTTGGAATAAATTTACATATTTACAACACTCACACATACAAACACACACATACATACACACAAAACACATACGCATGCATACAGTCACTCTCACATAAACACAGACACACACCACATTGTACAACAAAGTTTCACAACAGAACCATTTATAATACTCCTGGTAATTTTTATTTCATTTGCTTCAATTTACTCTCTTCTGTCCTATTTTGTGTTTTTATCATCAGTAATTATATAATCATTATTCATTTTGACCTGAAGGTTAAATAATTTGCTCTATATGGATATCCGTATTAACAATTCTATTGTCTTCTCATGAGCCAAATTTAGTGATAAATTTCCATTTATCTTCCAGAGTAAATGTAAGGACTTCTAGTCTCAACTTTCACAAAGCGTTGCAGAAAAAGTGATATCAATCATTCTCTCTTGTTGAATCTGTATTAGGAAAGGAAAGATAATTTACCAAAGGACTAATTTGACTAATTTTAAAGTAATCCCCTCCTTCCAACAATTTTTAAGAAAATGAAGCTTTCTTTGTTGAACTTGTTTGTACATAGATCGTTTTGTCTTTTTTCTAGTAAAGGAGAGATCCCTCTAAAATCTCATCAGTATGTGTGACCAGTTTATTAGCTTGGAAAAAAAAAAAAAAAAACTTCTCTATTTCATGTGATGCTGTAATAACTGAGGGGTTACAATAATGATAGTACCCTCACTAATTCTGTGAGATAAAGAAGAGGAGGAGAGGGGAAGGGGGAAAGGAGGAGAAGGGGAGGAAAAGGGGAAGAGAAAGAAGAAGGCAAAAGGAAAGAAGGAAGGAGGGAAGGAGGGAGAGGTAATTATTTGACATATCTTTGACATATTTCTAGAGTAAGGGGAAAACCATTTAGAACATCAGTTCTCAAAAGACACTTTACCTCGGACATTTTAGAAGCTAAAACATGGTTTTCACTGGTGGTAAACAGTGGGTCAGGGGAATCTGTGGGGAGTTTGGGATCTGGGTGAATTGCTGTTCTGCGGGACTCTGAATGCACTTCTTCTTCCATTTGAACCACAATGCTGAGAAGGAGCTTAAAAACATGGGTCAGAAGTCTGCACTGAAATCCATGGCTTTCTTATGGGGTGGGATGTTGGCACAAGAGTACCTAGATTTTTTTTTTTTTTCTGTTTTATTTCTCCTCTGTCAAATTTCCAATAAAGAAGTTGAAATGAATACGCTGTGAAAATGTAGTATATAGTGCCTGCTCCTAACTGCTTTCTTCCCTTCTCTCCCTTTCCTTTGTTTTCTGGCTGTTTGTGAATCCTGAAGCTGATGAATCAGTCTTTAAGAAACAGCAAGACTGGTGAGTCAGAGCTCTGGAACCAGGGAATGTGGCTTTTCCCTCACACAGCAGTTAACCCCATACTGTCCCTTAGCTGTCAATGGTAGCATGTCTTACACTTTTTTTTTTTTTCCACAAATGCATTTGACAGTATTACTATGTAATGAAAAAAAAAAAAAGATTCCAACTGCATATTCACAGCAATAGTCCCACATGGCTAATATTTTCCCCTTTTTATGTTTGGAAGTTTCCCTTACTCTTAGTTACAATTGGAAGTTATTTTTGGACATATACTCTTTAAATGTTTTTTCCTTTTAATTTACAGTAAGTACTATATTTAGTTTTGCTATTGTGAGTTTGTTAAAGCATTACAAAATCAAACATAAAAAAATCACTTCCACTTGGTGTATTTTATGATATGGGTAACAAAAACAAAACAAAAAGAAACTATGTGTTTCTTCCACATTAATTCTATTTCTGAAACATGAACAGTTTTTATTTTATAAGGTCATCACTGTGTATCTGTGGGCCAACATCTCCACTACCAAAGTTCGGAATATAAATATAAACAGAAGAAAAAGTAAATTAACCACAGTTTATATAATTATCTTTTCCCATCTTAGCTGACAATATAAATATGGTGTTAAAACCCTACTTTTACATCTGTCAAGAGCAATTTGCCATGATATCAATCATACTAATTAATATCTAATTAACTGATTCTTGTTTTCAACACATACATGCAGCAGGGGTCAAAAACATGAATTGGCTTTTTCCAAGTAGTGATATTAAACAGCTGTACTACTTAAGGATACATTGGCTTCATTGAAGTGCCAGTATGTGCCACAAATATTACCAATCTTAAGAAGGTATTTTTGTTTTTCTATTGACTTGTATTTTCATTTGAGACAAGATTTCACACTGTAACTCAGGGTATCCTGCTGTTTATTATGCAGCTCAGGCTGGCCCCGAACTCATGGTAATTCTCTTGCTTCAGCCTCCTCAGTGCTGAGATTACAGGTGTGAGCCACCATTCCTGTCCATTTATCGATTGTGTGTGTGTGTGTGTGTGTTTGTGTGTGTGTGTGTGCTTGTGTATGTACTATGTTTGTGTTCCTGTAGAGGTCAGAGATCAACCTCAGATGTTACTGCTCAAGTGTTGTCCACTTTGTTTTTTGAGGCAGAACTGAGACATGGTTGGCTTAGAGCTCACTGATTAGGCTAAAATGACTGACCAGTGAACCCCAGGGTTCCACCTGTCTCCATCTCTCCAGTGGAGGGATTACAATCATGCCTCTACACCAAGCTTTTTCATTTGGATTCAGATGACTGAACTCAGGTCCTCATGCAAGCATTTTACCACTAAGATTTTACCCAAGACACATTCACTGGCTTTCAGAAACTTGAAATATCTAATTACCCTGAGAGATCTATGAGGAAAACAGGAGTAAAGTGCAATGTGGGCAGAGCCATACTATGCATAGTTCAAAAGAAACCCCATATACTGTTTAATAAGGATTTATGAAGAATAAAAATGAGTCATTATTGCTGCTTCAGGAAAAACTTGCCCCTTTTACATCAGGTGGGAAATTTCTTATGTTCCATGTACTCTGGCAGTTGCAAACCCACTAATCCCTACACTTCATAGTTTTGGTTCCTTGTTTTATTGTTTGGTTAGGATATAAGAGTAAAGATCTGTTTGTACTTATATGTAAATTGACTCTATTAAAAAATCAGTATACGTACCCTTTCCTCTAATATCAATAATTTTATTAAATGTCATTATAATTAAAATTTTAGCATTAACTGCTCATAACTTTGAACCAATCTGAAGCTTCAGTTTTTTTCATATTTCTTCCAAGCACAAAAAGTCTTTAGTTTGGAAGGCAGATGAACTATAACCAGGAAATTACTCATCTCTGTCTAATGTTAAAATCTACAAATAAGTTATATCTCATTGTGACAAAAATTATTGGAGTTAAGCTGCATTAGTGATATTATGTTTATATAGAAAAGTGGTAACAAAATCAGAGAAATAAAAAATCCCCAAGATCATGTAGTAATGAGGGATGGAATTGAAATTTATCATAAGGCCCTTTTCTTTTTTAGTTTTGAAGTTAAGGTACTTTTTTATTCTACAATCTGCTTAATTTTGAAAGTGAGTGATTAGGTTCATTAGGACAGGGGCAGGAAACACAGCATAACTGAAGCTCTGTCACATTCCCCCACCTCTGGGGCCGAAAAGTAGAGAGAAAGAGGGAGCAGAAAGGCCGCCCCTCCTTTTCATTTCGTTGTGCTGTCAGCTGAGCTGCTTCTGTGAAAAGTTTTGCAAGACTTGTTTCACTTTGGGTTTGGCCAGCACTGAGCCTGTTCTTCAAACAAAGACAGCCGGTTGCTAACTTCTGGTTGCTAGGTGTGGCTCCGTTCATATCCTATAAAATCAGGAGTCCAACACTCCACTTCCAGATTGAAATCTTCACAGGAGAGCCTCTCAGTAGCTCCTTGGAAGAAAGGAAAAGAAAAGGGTAAGCGTTGGTTTTGCTTTGCAGAGGGTTTTGAGAGTTTTAGAAACTTTTACTAAACCAGTGAAAACTCTACTTGGTTTGCTTTGGGCTTTGAAAAGAAGTTTCGTGAGTGTTTAAAAGACTACCGCTTCTGTAGGATTTGTGACTAGTCGCATTTAATAGGCTTTAATAAATCTTGCTGTAAAATTACATTGTGTATTAATATTTTAGGAACCATAAAGGGTAATGTTCGGCTGTTCTTCAAAACTGTGGCAATTTCCTTCGTTGCTCCGCCTTTGACTTACCGAAGGAATGGGGGAAAAAAGTGCGCATGTCCCCTGGTTGGCTTCAAAGAATGTGGTTTTCCTTCTCTCCGGCTTGGAATGTGTCTCCAGAGCTGTGTTTTGCCTCGCATCTTGCAGGGGTGGGAGCTAGGATACTGGCGGGTCCCAGAGAGACAGATGCTGCAAATTGTGAAGAGCTGTTTCAGAATAAAAGGCTTTCATATAGACTTTTTCTTTTTTGTAAGGAAAACCAAGTGAATTAAGACCGCAGCATGGAATTCATGCCCTCCTTAATTAACGTTTTGAAATTACGGTTATTTTTACTCGTAGTTTGAGACAGCCTGCTTATTACTCACTTCATTTCCAGAGGGAGTGGCCACATTCATTTTCCTATAATTTCTGTGTCATAGACAGGCTTTTCCAGTGCTCCTTTGAAAACCTAAGGGGAAAGGAAATATTTCTTGGGTGGTGTCAGATAAATTCTCTCATGGAATGCTGGAGGGGCCATATAAAAACTGTTTGACGTAGTAGTGTCTTGATTGTCCAGTGAGATAAGTTCATAAACTCCTTAGAAAGGCAAAAAGCAAATCTATCTAGAGTTTTACTATGTTGGAAATTTTTGCATGCTTATTACAAATGTTTCTTCTAGGACCTTTCTCTTAGCGCACTTAAAATGTTAATGAAATGCCTTGAGTTCCCATGTTTAAGGTGAGCCAATGAAGAAAGGTGTGACTCCTAAAATCATGTCTGAACTCTGAGAAATCAATATTCTCCTTCAGACTTGGAATGTGTTTTGGTAGATACAAACAAGGCATACTTCAGATGATTCATACGGAGTAAAATGCTGGTTTTCTATTTCTGAAATGGTCTCTTCTTCAGCACTGACTTTGCCACCCTAGCCCCAGGCCCAACCACATCTACCAGATACCCAAAGTGAAAATTACATTATTAAGGAACCAGCTGGATTTTGATACTTATTAAGCACTTTCTCAATCAAAATGGCTACCAAGGTTTATTTCTGAATATGATATTAGCTGGCTGTGTTGACTGTTATTCTCTCTAGATCTGTTCATTAGTGACATATTTAAGATCAGAGCAAAACAAAAGGACTTACTGATTTTTAGTGACAAACCATAACCATAAACAATTCTCAAACTTAACTATTTCTTCTTCCTTCAAAGTTGCATAAATTTATCAGGAAAATCAAAATTCTAATCTATCCAATGACTTCCTTCTTTAGATTAATTTTCCTTATCTATATTTATTCAAGGCGAAATGTCAGCTAGGTGCTTCAGAACTATAATGGATGTAAGAGACTGTTTATCTCTACATTCTTATTTAACTAATGAAAACCATCTGGAGAAGTTTAATGTTTTTGTGAGGTCAGATTTCCAGTTAAAGAAAATTAAAATAAGGCCTGTAACACCCTGAATCTTCTGTTTAAAATACTGTAATTATGGGTCTTATGTGTTTGTTAAATTTGTATAGATGGTTCCCGATGTGCTATTTGTTAATTTGCCAGGGCTTAGGAGCATACTGAATGCTAGGCAATTCACCAGGAATTGGAGGTGCATGATGTTGGCTCTGCCTTCGGGGAAGACTGCCGGGAGTACAGATGCCAACACAAAGTGATAATGCATTACGGCCTGAGACTAGTGGACAGGCGAAGGCAATACCCTTCAGAACTTCCCTCAGTGCAGTGCTGAGCTTCCTGGAGATGTGATAAATCCTCTATGCTGAGTCTTCACTAGAAATAGCAGTTAGTCAGGCAAAAGACAGTGGGTGTGGAGGAGGAATGAGCATTTCAGGCAACAGAAACTCCCTATGCATAAGCTTGAAGCAAAATATCCAGGAGCTACTTTCATAAAGTGGTTCTTCAAAATGATGTCACTGTATAGTCTAATTATCTTCCCCATGTGGCCTTGAATAGTCTAATTATCTTCTGCCTGTGGGTAGGTGTGGGAAGGACTTACGAAAGGTTGTTTAAGGAACAAGTGAGCATAAGGGAAAAGCTTATGACAGTAAACTCCCTCAGGCTGCAGTGAAGCCTACTATGACAGTCTCCAGGAGTGAATGAATTTGATTCTCAAGTGGATTAAAAATAATATTGATCTTGTCTTTACCTTTTTGGTCACTAACTTAAAGTAATATACAATAGTTTTAGTAAAAAAAGAAGTATTTATGAATCCTGACCCTTCGACCAGGAAATCGGTCTGAAAATGACATCCTGTTGTCCTAGATAAAAGAAATGGGGATGATGAAAAGTATTTGTCCAGGAAAGGGCTAAGTTGCCGCTGCTGTCACTGTGGAACTAAGCGTTCTCGCATGTCACAGGAGGTACACCATAAAGATGTCTTCTCTAGGATATACTCTGTTGAGTGAAATAAGTTACTCAATGTGCATTTTTTTACTTTGGACTTTGCAATGAATATATAAAGTGTTGTAACCAGGAAAGCATGGTAAGCCACGAAACTCACCTTTCCTCTAAAATTCTGGAAGCAACTTCAAGAAAAGAAACATGACGCTGACTATATATAGATGCACAAAAATGTTAATCTTGAGAAAGCTAAACATTTAATCCACACATAAGCTTAAACTGGAAGGTAGCGCACATTCACAAAAAGATTATTAATTAGAGGAAATAATAAGCACTGTTAACTTGCATGTAGGTTGGCCTAGGTATATAAATAGCCAATTTTGTCTTCACATTAGCTCATCCTAATCCTAGATACAAACTTGGATTGAGATCATTGGTAGGTAGGTGAAATATATGTTGATCTGAAACAAAATTATAGTTTTTAAAAGATGGAAGAAAGAACTCCTTTTTGGAAATAACCCAGTTAAGTTTATCTCCACGCAGTCTAAGTACTAAGCAGGTGGAATTGGCCAGCAATGAAATCTGCCTAAATACTTTTACTGAGGTGTCTGTGAGGTGCTTTATATAAAGTAGTTCTGTTAATATAGGTGCTTGGCTTTAGGCACTTACCCAGCAGGCCATGATAAAAATCAATTTTCTTTAGAGCTATTGTGTGCATTCATCCACAATCTTGGTGTCTTTAAGCTTTACTAAGCACTAGAAGATGTCTGGCTGCCTTAGGATTCCCTCTTCCTCCATGGGCTTTGCTGAGGATGGTGCTGGTCTGGATGCTTTGCTTTTCTAGACTATGCTGGTGGGCACACCCTTCAGGAAAATACTTCAAACTAGAGTGGAAGAGCTCAGAAGATGGAAGGGCAAAGCTGTTTTCTCTAGGGACACTTGTCAAACAAATTTCTGAACCTTCTTGTTTTTGTTATTTTGTGTAATACAATTATCATAGTCACATCATTATTTCACTAAGCTTTCCTAGTTTTTGAAAAAAGAAATTTGTGCATTATACATTTTTTTTTTTTTGGTCTTTTTGAGACAGGGTCTCCCTGTAGCCCCAGCTCTCCTGGAACTTACTATGTAGACCAGGCTGGCCTTGAACTGACAGAGATCTGCCTGCCTCTGCCTCTCAAGTGCTGGTTTGACGGTTTTTCTTTCTTAATTGAAAACAATAAAATACTGAACTTTCTACTAAGTGTTAGAGAAGCACTTTGTCAAGGACCAATCATTTAATTAGTTTGAAGATTCTGTTTTGCTAAGGACCAATCATATCGCTCATTTTTAAGGATTCTACTTTACTAGAGGCGTGGATATGACAGTCAAGATAGCAACTCTGAATGTTGAAACTTTGCTGGAATTGCTCTGAAGTTTTGTGTGTGCCAAATGTGTGGTAAAACTATGAAATTCTGTGTGGCAACAGAAATTGCAGCAGATTAGACTGTGGCAGGAAGTACAGTCTCCTGCACGATTGCATATCCTGACTTTACATTAGGAAACAACTTTAAAATTATTGATGGCTGGAGAGGAAGCAGTCCATTAGTGAATGCACCCCATATTGGCTCTTCACACCAAGGACAGCTCAGTAATTTGAACAGGGCCCAGGGTAATCGAGTGGGGACTGTTTCTGCTTTGAGCATTATTTCCCTCAAGCACTGAATGTCATTACTCGGAACTGTTGTCATTTTTTTCAGTAGGTATGGATTGAAATTCTTTGTCTGAACTTGCTGTTAAGACATCAACTTGATTTCTGGATCATAAGTCATATGGCTGCATACGTGACTTTAAAACTGCAGAGATGTTCTTTCCAGTCTCCCTCAAGGGTAGTCACATGAGCCATCTCCAGAGGGTGTCAGAGGTAGATTAGTGCAGGCCCTGAGCAGTCTCAGGCAAAAAGGATCACTGGTGGCCATCTGTGTAGGTGGAGACAACAGGTTAATTTTCAATAAACTTCAAGTTTTTAAAATACATATGTTCTTTTAGATGCAAATATTACCAAACCATGACAGCAGCTTTAAAACTTCCTCTACGATAGTTGCCAAAAGATCATGTACATATAGCCTCACCCAAGTTCTTTTTGTCCAAATAACAACCAAAACATGTAGAAACTAATTATGTTTCCTCTGCGTGTATGTCAGGCAGACAGAGAAAACATGTAATTTGTGTGTGTGTGTGTGTGTGTGTGTGTGTGTGTGTGTGTGTAAATACACAACTCAAATAGGGGAAATGTGAAAATATCAGTTATACAAATAAATTCATACCAAGCAATGTGAGTTGATTCAGTTCTGTAGATAGTTCCTGGTTACTTTACTTTGTAAACGTAAACATGCCTTTTCTCCAGCCACTACTTTGGCACACAGATGATCGAATGGCACACAGAATAGGCATGCTGTTCTCAGCTCTTCACCACGGTGCCTAATGAATGATCCTTTTGAAACACAAAGGGACTCTTTCCACAAATGTGATGATTTTCCCCTGAGCTTCGGACGTATATTTAAATTCTTTGTTACAACTTCTGTCAACTGTTCTTCATCGAGCAAACTTAATTCATCTTCCCAAACATAACAGTTTTTCTCTATTTTATTCTCTTCAACATTCTGCCAGATTAATTTTGACTAGTTTCAAGAAAGGCTGTGCTAAACCAGCACTTTGTCTGAAAAGTTTCCTTACTCTTTGATGTTTCAGATGACGAGCACATACCAGCTCTAGAGTCCTTGAGGCAAAGGACAGTATTTTAAAGCTTTTGGATCCTCAGTGTTTGGCACCTGGGGACTGGGCTGTAAATTTATACCAGTGATGTGGCATGGAATAGTTATCTGATTGTTAAAGGATGGTCTGAACATACCGTAAAAAAGCCCAGTTTTTGAGTGGAGGCTATGGACACTTAAAATACCTACACCTCACATCTTATATTCCAAAGAATAATCCCAACAAGAAAGATTACTCTCTGTTGCTGTGTCTTGCGTGTGTAAAGGTAGTGTTTGTGGGTGTCAAGTTTGTTATATAAAAGCATCTACCCATTTTCTTTTCAGACACTTCTTTAAAAATGGCAATGGTAACAGAATTCCTCAAGCAGGCCTGGTTTATTGACAATCAAGAACAGGAATACATTGTAAGTAATAGTAACAAAATGACTTAGTTACCATATTAAAATAAACACCAATATGAGTGAATGGGCACTAATGTATATCTTTCACATCCACAGGATACTGTGAAATCATCCAAAGCTGGCCCTGGGTCAGCAGTGAACTACTACCCCGGCTTCAATCCATCCTCAGATGTTGCTGCCTTGCACAAAGCCATAACAGTCAAAGGTGGGTGTGTCTCTCTGTAAAGTCTCCTGAGCATTTCAGAGCAGCTGTTTAAATGGTTATTGGAAACCTAAGTGATAGTTTTTCATTGAGAAGACAAAAAGATTATTGTGGCACAAGGACTTTTATTGATTTTATATATACATATAATATCTTAGCACTAGAGAGGCTGTGGCCAGATGATTAGCAATTTAAGGCCTTCATGGGCTGTGTAGTTAGAATCTTTCTCAAAAGGATTATGGTGTATTTGCTTTCAGTACTTAGGAAATTTTGGTCAGTGGTGGAACCGTGTTCCTAAAATAGATATCCTAAAATAAAATTGTTTCTAGTAGGAACCAATACTGATCATGTTTAGGGTTTGAGCTTGCATCAGACGAGAATACTGAAGTCCAGGAACAATTACCTTGTCCCTTACTTTCTCATTCAAATTAATGAAATGCAACCCTATGTTTATCAGCTAATAAGTCTTGTAGCATTTAATTCCTAGGCTAACACAGTTATATTTCTTGGTTTGTTACAAACTTCACTGAGCACATCTTGATAATGAATCATTTTATGTCAGTTGTTGGTGATTAAGAAAACTGATGTTAAAACAGCAGATGCTTTATCTCCAGGTGTGGATGAAGCCACCATCATTGACATTTTAACCAAGAGAACCAATGCTCAGCGCCAGCAAATCAAGGCCGCGTACTTCCAGGAGCATGGAAAGGTGGGGGAGCCGTAAGCTCAGATGTTTGGTCATATTTATGTCTACACACTATTCTGAAGCACAGTCCCTAGTTCTTTCCATCCTAATCACCCATTAGCCCTAAGATGGAGTTTGCATTGTTTGTCTCCTTTATTGCAATCCAATCAGTTCTAGCAAATTCACTCAGTTCATAAATTGGCCAATCTCGGTATAAGTTTTTGTGAAGGTGATGTTCTGTGTTGAAGACAATATATCAATTTAAGCATAATAAACATCGAAATTACTACAAAGAATAATTTGCTCTGATTAAAATGTATTTTGGGGGCTGGAGAGATGGCTCCGTGATTAAGAGCACCGGCTGCTCTTGCAGAGGATCAGGTTCGAGTCTCAGCACTCACATGGTGGTTAACAACCATCTGTAATGCCAGGTCCAGGGGATCCAATGCCCTCTTCTGACCTCCACAGGCATTGTACTACATGGGTGTATCTATATGCAGGTGCTACACTCATACACATAAAATAGAAATAATAAATAAAATACTTTTAAAAAAGAAATGCACTTTTTACTGAAACTAAAAATGAACTGTTTAGTGAAGAAATCTAAAGTTTTTACACAATTCTGCTATAAGTAAACACTATATCTTTTATAGCAAATATGGGTAGCTTATTTTTAAATAAGTGTAATTAGAAAACTGCAATATAACATTTTTTTAAAATTATAGTGCTTACTAGATCGCTGAAAACCTCAAAACTTGAAAGAGCTTTTTGTGTTTTCAGCTTTGTGATTCATTCCCTTTAAAAAAGACCGAGTCACAATCATTTAAGATGTTACCAATGGATTTGGGAAACTTCATCTAATCCCTCTAGTTCTAAAAGATAAAGATGACATTCCTAAATATCCAGTTTGCTTTTCAGCAGGGAGGGGCAGAGTTATAGAACATGAGGACTTAGGGATCAGCAGTGAGATGCCCTAAAAGTCAGGAATACTACATCTTGTATCACTTAGCATATAACTTACAGAAACCTTGATTCTTGTTTATAGCCCCTGGATGAAATTCTGAAGAAAGCCCTTTTAGGTCACCTGGAGGAGGTTGTTTTAGCTCTGCTAAAAACTCCAGCCCAGTTTGATGCAGATGAACTACGTGCTGCCATGAAGGTAAGGTATTCACTTTAAGAAAAAAGTAGCTTTCTTCAGGAATATGTACAGGGAAAGTTTATTGTCACTGTCACTGTATCTTCATTATCTAGCCTGACATCAGTCAATGCTTAATGAATGAGAAAATTAATAATTCAGCAACTCAGTACATATATGAAAATAGAAATGTTGCTACTAATGTCCTTGTAATTTAAATATGTAAGTAAAGAATGTGTAAGTCAAATATCTACATTTTTCATATCTTTATCCAGAATACTAAAAATAAATTCACTTTGCTTTAGAAAAATATAATAGAGCTCATATAATTATTAAATATTATGGGAAAATTGATAAAATGACAAATTACAACAAAATTTGTGAACGCAAACTATTTGATTCTCTTGAATAAAAGAATTTTATATGTATTTTCCTTTCCTTAATTTCAGGGACTTGGAACTGATGAAGATACTCTGATTGAAATTCTGGTATCAAGAACAAACAAAGAAATCAGAGAAATTAACAGGGTCTACAGAGAGGGTAAGAGGTCATCCATCCATCCAATGCCTTACTTGTACAGGAAAGCAAATACATCAGCTTAACATCAGCTATAGATATTAATTATGGGTGTCTAGAAAGGCTATACCTTAAAATGTTCCCTTATTACCTGTATATCCATACATGCTGTTACCAGGGAACTTTCAGGCTGTTGGTATGCTGATGTGAGAATGCGGGTCCCAACCTACATGAATCTTACACTTTAATAGAAAATGTCTTCTAGAAAAAATGAGTACAAGTTGTTACAATGAGACTTTCAGTTCAGGGCATTGCATGTAAATGATTTTCTGAAAACATTGTTCTATTATCAAGATATTTATTGCATAAAAACTACCATGTGTCTTTTATTTTGAAAAGAATATATAATAAAAAAATATTTCAGAACAGAATGCTTTTCTTTGAAAAGGTAATAGGCCTTTTATGAGTTTTAATTGTTAGTTTTACTATTATGAACATAAAAGATTCAGTTCTACTCTCTGGTTACATGCATGGGGTTGAAAACCATCCATGGATCATCTTAACTAGTGAAGCCTTTGATCAAATGAGACATTTCACACTGCAGTGGGGATAGTGCCAGTCTCCTTGCACGTCTAGTTTCCCTGAGCTACTGGCTATTTTATTTTTCTAAACTAATATGTAACTCCATAGAGAACCTTCCTGCCTGGTTCTCTTACCAAGCACCAAGGGTTCAGTAGACATTACACATTATTCTCAATGTAAGTGAACCAAAATAAAGAAGCGTTAAACCACGTTTTCTGCAAATCTTATTTTGTAACCAATGTTTAACTTAAATCCACCAACAGTAATAATAATCCAAGAGACATAATTATTCAGTTTTTGGTAAAACATTGTTTACAAAGGTAAACAGCCATATTTTGCTATGACACCAAAGACATAGTCCAGAGATAGCTTATTAAACTGCTCTTTTTCTGATTCATTATAGTTATTTCTTCTATTAAAGCACTATTTTATACAGTTCGATATATATGTATAAACAAGACATTTAAATAAACATACACACATATCATTAAACTATACTATGTATAAGATACTTATAATTTTAAGGTAAATAAATAGCTTATGTTCAAACAAGTAAATAGTTGTTCTATTCATTCTGTTGCTTACATTTTGACATATTGTATTTCAGAAGTAATTATTTGATAACATATATCTAACAAACTCATTCTTGCTAACAAATATTTACTGCTCTGAGTTTCATTCACAGTGTTACTCAAATTGTTCCCATTGACCTATAGAGAATTATGTTACAATCTAAAACTTCTCCTCTAGTTTGTTGTTACATAAAAAATTTTAAAATGTGTTCTGTAAATTGTTAGACATTGTAAACTATAAGTTAATGCAGACTTGTTAGATACAGTTATTTTATTACTAGCATCATTGTTTTCCAATAATTCACTGAAAAAAACAACTTTTTTTCTCGCTTTTTAGAGCTGAAAAGAGATCTGGCCAAAGATATCACTTCAGATACATCTGGAGACTTCCAGAAGGCTTTACTTTCTCTTGCCAAGGTATATATAACTCAAATGCTTCCAGAAATGTCTTTGCTTTTATAAAGAATAAAATCTTAAGAATTATGATCTCTTTCTATATATGAGAAACTTACTGTTCCATTTAAAATTAATAGTGCTTAATTAGTAAATTATAATCGTGTTTATTTGAGGGAACAATGTGCTATTTTGATATACATGATCTGGATTTAATCACTTAAACTAAATGATTTATCGATGACCTCACTTGCCTATCACTTTATAAGGTAAAACATTTGAAGTTTCTTCTCTTACTTATTTAGAAATATACCCTGCATTGTTGATTATTCGTCCTCTTACTATGCAGTACATCCCGAAATGTATTCTTTCTTTCTATTTTGAACTGTGTCCTTTCACCAACATCTTTACTCCCCACCCCACCTCCTCTGGTCATTATCAATCTATCTTCACATTCCTGAGTTCACTTTATTTAGACAGCATCTCTAAAGGAGGCCACACACTACTGGCCTTTGTCTTCCTTATTTTTCTTAGTATAATGTTCTTGCAAACATAAATATCCTTTTGAGTCTCTTTTCCTTGAAGACTGTCTTATTTTAAGAGAATTAAGTTAATCCTGTGATTGCAGTCTACATACAAGCTTACAAAAAGCTGGAATGTTTTTCAGGGTGACCGTTGTGAGGATTTCCTTGTGAATCACGATTTGGCTGATACAGATGCCAGGGTAAGCGAAGTTGACACAGTAACACTGAAGCAAATCTTCCTGTTCTCTGCGTGGTCACCATCTTACACCTTTCACAAGGAATCGGATCTCAGGCACTTTGAGATGACAATGGATTTTTAATGTTCATTAAATTAGACACAATTTCATGTAGCCCAGGAATAAAAAATGTAGTCTGTATTTCCAGTTGATCTCATCATTCATAAAACCAGAGAGAACTGAAAGAGAACAATCAGAATTTGATTTGAATTTTTATTTTACCGAGTATTAAAAAAAAAAACAATTATATATGTAAGATCTTGGCCGATAGTGTATGCCGACCTCAAATTTGAAATCCCCCTCCTTTAGGGATTAGAGGTACATGTCAACACATCCAGCTGGGAAAAGAGATTATTATTGAGCACAGTGAAAGCACTGAATGTGTCTAGTATTGTTTTGACAGAAATTGTGCAAGCATATGAAAAAGCAGCACTTAGGGTTAAATAACTGCCCATAACAAGATTATTCTTATTTATTGACATTTCTGAATATGTTTCAATTTCCAGACTCTCAGGGCTCTTTAATGTATGTTTGTGGAGACTACATGAATTAGTTTGACCCAGGAGGATGGTAGAAATTAAAATTTTAGGTTAACAGAACACATTTGTGACAAAAGAGCAGGGATTGTCTTTTGAATTTGCAGAGGAAGAAAAATTGTAGCTTGATAAAGTTAAATTATTTGTCTAAGATTATACAACTTTTAGAGCTGCAATTTAAATTTAGAAATTGTAGTATGGGGCTAGAGAGATGGCTTGGCAGTTAAGAACACTGACTGTTCTTGCAGAAGACCCAGGGTCAAATCCCAGGACCCATATGGCAGCTAACTACTGCCTGTAACTTCAGTTCCAGGGGATCCGACAGCCTCTTCTGTCCTCCGTGGGTGTTACATGACACGTGTGCACTTACCTACATGCAGGCAATACATGCATACACATAAAGTAAAAATAATAAATAAAATTTTAAAAATATATTTTTTTAAAAGTGCTTGTCCTACCTGGACTATGCAGTTTTAAAAAAAAGAAACAGAAAAAGAAATTGTAGTATCAAATTCTAATGTCCTTTAGTAGCAAATGTGTTTATAGAGAAAATATGCCAGATCTAGGCAATGGTTGAATTATTAATTTATTGGTACTGATTACTGAAAACTTCTTTGAACAATGAAGTATAAAAATGTACTTTACAGAATCCCTCTGTAAAGTAATGCTTTTTAAAGCAATTAACTCAGCAAACAGATATTCAGATATTCTGAAAACATGTACTCAGTCTGCCATATTTACAAAGGACCTTGAGAAATATTTGACAAAAATTAAGATCCCTGTCTTTAAGAAGGACCCAAACTTAGTGCTGCCTACTCTGACTGTATTATGTAAAAAATAGCTGTCTAGGCAATTTTAAGGAGAGCTAACATTTCTGTGTGTATATCATTGCAGCACATGGTCAAGTGCTTACATATGGATTTCTTGACAGGCTTTATATGAAGCAGGAGAAAGGAGAAAGGGGACAGATGTAAACGTGTTCTGCACAATCCTGACCACTAGAAGCTATACCCATCTTCGCAGAGGTAACGAGGAATGTTTTCTGGAATGTGTTTATTAAATAACCAATTTTCTTTATTGAGGACAAGTAAGAGGAAAGAAAATATGTAGTCTTAGTCAGAGTCCCTTCTATGTCAGATGGGTGCAGTGAAGCTTGCCCATTACTGCTTTAGCCTATTCATCAGCTTTGTAAAGCTACCATTGCATGCCATTGTGAATATATTTTGTGACTTTGGGATGGGTCCACCATTTATTTTTCATGGTTTCGATTCTTTTGAAAGTTTTAGAATAACAATAACAATAAATATAAATAAAATAGAATATGTGAAACAGAAAAATAAGCAACTGCCCAAACCTTGGGGCTTAGTGAAGGAAAAAATGGGTAGATGTTCAATAAACAAAACAAAAACCATCAAGAATCATTTCCTTTGAGGACAAGAATTAGTTGTGAGTCTTTGGAAAGACAAAGCACATAAATTCTACAAAGTTCCTTATACCAGCACACTGATTCCTAATGTTAAGTAAGGGAAATTTTCTGTGCTGATATTAAAAGAAGATGGAAAGCTGGGGTTAGAGAGATGGCTCAGCAGATAAGAACACTGTTTGTTCTTGCAGAAGTCCTGGGTTCGAATCCCAGCACACACATGGCAGCTAACAACTGTCCATAACTCCAGTCCCAGGGGATCCAACAGCCTCTTCTGACTTCCTCAGGCTTTGCACAACACGGGTACACTTACCTACATGCAGGCAATATACGCATACACATACAAAATAAAAATAATAAAATATTTTAAAAGAAGACGGAAAGGACTTTTGCCTTGGGAGGTATTACTGGCCTAACTGTCAATAACATGGCATTTCTGATAACTTTTGGCACTTCTAGCATTTCTACAAAATAGATTTGAACACCCAAATATTCATGTGAGTTGCATTCCCAACAGAAGATTAAGGAAGATGTGTTACATCAAGTCACACAAATACCCTTAAAAGTGTGAAGTTCTATGTTCTATGTTCCTTGAGTCAGTCACCTTGATTTTGCAAAAGTCTGCTTAAAAACAGGATGCTTTGTACTGATGTTTAATCTAATATTCAGTGTTTCAGAATTATAAAAAGTACAGTCAGCATGATATGAACAAAGTTCTGGACCTGGAGCTGAAGGGTGACATTGAGAATTGCCTCACAGCCATTGGTACGTAGGCCTTGGACAGGAAGAGTTCAAACCTGGATTTGTATACCCGTGTTTTCATTGCTGTCCTCTTCAAAAACAAAGTAAGAAAAATAAGCCTGCAACTACATGCATCTATACATCTGTGTCAGACTGAAGAAGAGATAAGGTGGCCTTATTAATGGCGAGAAAAGCTTGTCTCCTCTTCAGAACATGGAGGAGTGGAATACATGAACTGAGCACTTGCTTGTGTGAAAGAGTGCACCAAGCAGGACACAGCACCCAGGCAATTCTGAATGGTCGCCAAGAGCAATGAATTCAAGTCCTGGTGTAATATTTGTTAGTTGTGTGGTCTTGAGCAAGTCCAGGAGAATATAAGATGGTAGGTCTGGGTTAACTTCTGATGTCATCCATGGTGTCCTGATGGCCAAAAGCCTGGAGACCTATGTTAATAAGCAGTATTTCCCAAATGTCAGCATGTCAGTGAATCCCACATGCATATTCTTTAGCAGGTCTTGGAACCAGCTGTGGCCGATATCAGTGCTGCTGTTCACAAATCCCACGTTGAGTAGCAACATAAAGAAAGGCCCCTATAGACATAGGCTGCTATTTTGTTTGGACAGTTTATATTTAAATTTGTCCTGTTGTAGTACATTGAATTTGTTCATTTTACAACATAAGTCACATGTTTACTTGTATGACTGTGGATACTTCCTAGTTTCTCTACAGCTGCAGAGAGGAAGGATAGTAGTGATTATTAGAGTTGTCCGGGAAGAATGAAGGTGGTTAGGAAATAGATTATATTGTGGGGGTGTGCTGGAAATGTGGGAGAGTCATTCTGTTTTCTAATGAGCGAAATGCCTGACATTAGGACGGAGCGACAGAACCCCTCCTGTAAACTTCCTTTCTTTCATATTCACCTTTCTACTTCTGTAATGAATACATCAACTGAATTTGCCTTACAGTGAAGTGTGCCACCAGCACCCCAGCTTTCTTTGCCGAGAAACTTCATCAGGCCATGAAGGTACCGTTCTACTTACATGGTTTACTTAGAAGAAAAATTACTTGTATATAGAAGAGCAGAGAACTTAGATATGATTATGAGATGAGTTGGCAGGAGCTTTAATGGGTGATTTGGGGTTTTTCGTTTGTTTGTCTGAGACAGGATCTCCCTATAGCCCCAGCTGACCTGCAATTCACTGTGTTGACCAGGCTGGCATTGAACTCATAGAGTTACTTCCTCTGCCTCCCAAGTGCTGGGATTGAAGGTGTGAGCCACCACGCCTGGCCTTAATGGGTGATTTTTAATTTGCTTAAAACACGAGTTTCCAAGGGTTACCTAGTTTTCCTTTTAATGTGTTCTTTTAATAACCTACTTCCATGAAGGTTGTGACTTTTATAATCTTCAACTTTATAAGTTTTCTCTGTATTGTGATGCTCTTTTCTATGCCACAAACTAATAGTGGATCTTTTAAAATGTTATTGCAATGTTACAGAAATAGGTGGTATTAAGCTTTATTTGAGTTACAAGTGTGGTGGCATACACCTTTGATCCTAGCCCTCACGAGATAGAGACAGGCAAATCTCTGTAAATTGGAGGCCAGCCTGATCTATACTGAGTGAATTCCAAGCCAGCCAGGGATACATTCTGAGACCCTTAAGATGCTTCACTGATTTCACTTCTACTTTATTCTCTAGGAAGAATGCTGCTGTGTAGAGTCTTACCTCTGGGCTTAGACTTTGAGCTCTCTAAATAATAGTTATGATGTTATCTTTATTTTTCCTTCCAATTCACAAACAAGGAAGCTTTCACAGAGGAAATGGGGGGGAGAGAAAATTAATATAGGCATGATTATACAGACTGTGTGGAAGGGTAAAAGGTACTTCTCTAAAATTTGTGGTCTTCAATGAGAGATCGTCTGAATCTAATAAAACAATGATTTTCCTGGACAGGGAGCTGGAACTCGCCATAAGGCATTGATCAGGATTATGGTCTCCCGTTCTGAAATTGACATGAATGAAATCAAAGTATTTTACCAGAAGAAGTATGGTATCTCTCTTTGCCAAGCCATTCTGGTAAGTTGAAAGTTTCATAATGGCACCTCCACAAATAAAAGTTCTCTGTTCAACATTTTCCAAAACCATAGCTGATAAACTGCATAACTATGATGAATTTAATTTGCTATGGTGATGCTTCATAAATAAATAAAACTTCACTTAATTAAATCTACTGTTCTCTTCTGGAGAACTAAGTGCATTTTTAAGTTTAGAAATGCTTTTCCTTCTGTGCATAACTATTCTATAATATTTCAGAATTTTGACAGTATGCATATACATCATGATTTATTTTGTACATATGCTGAAGAATGAGGAATTTGATGCTGATTAAATTTTTATTTCTTTCTTTTTATTTTATGTGTATGAGTGTTTTGCCTGCATGTATATAAGTGCACCTGTGTCATGCAAAACTGCAGAGCTCAGAAAAGGTCATGGAATCCCCTGGAACTGGAGATAGAGATGGTTGCTAGTCATGTGGGTGTTGGGAATTGAACCCAGGTGCTCTGCAAAAGCAGCCAGTGCTCTTAACCACTGAGCCATCTCTCCATCCCCCTAAAATTAATTTTTTTGCATTTTACATTTTAGTAAAAATAATTTTTTCCTATGTAAATATTTAAAATATATGTTCAAGTCATATTATTAGACTGTTGAACAATAAGGCATAATGAAATGTCAAGGAGTTTGATCTTGTTGAAAGATAATTATTTAAATTCACATACTTTATATTTAACAATTAAAATCTACTAAGAACAAGTCAGAATATGACAGGTCCATAGTTTTCACTCTTTTTTTTTTTTTGGTCTTTTTGAGACAGGGTCTCCCTGTAGCCCCAGTTGACCTTGAGCTGGATATATAGACCAGGCTTGCCTTAAACTCACAGAGATTCACCTGTCTCTGCCTTTCGAGTGCTGGAATTAAAAGCGTGTGCCAACGAGTCTGGCTGGTTTTCATTCTTTAAAATGTGTGACTGAAATACTTTCTCATGCATGATGTCAAATTATATCATTCTTTAATTCTATGATATATTTCATACTGAGAAAATAATGGTCCCAACACAAGGCTACTAGTTCAGAGGAGTTTTTATTCTGATTCTAGTTAGCTGTTGATTCTGTATATCATCCAAATGTATTGTTATTTAATTAGATGAACAGAATTTTGAACAAATATCAAGAAATACGATCTACTGTAATATATGACTGGGTCTACAGCTGATTCTACAAATACCGTGTTTCTTATGTAATTAAAATACCTTATGTTGGTCATGATTTTGCATTATGTTAAGTGTGCTCTGTTTTTCACTCAACAGGATGAAACTAAGGGAGACTATGAAAAAATCCTGGTGGCTCTTTGTGGTGGAAACTAAACTTTGAAGCAGTATGATCAGAACACCTGTTAGCTGTAGCTTTTTATTCTATCGCATAGGCTTAAACAGGAGATTCCTTCAGCTGTGAAGTCTGCTTACCTACTTTCTGAAAACTGTAGGCCATCAATCATATTTACATCACATCTGTATAATAGAGATAAACTTGTTTTGTTAATTACGTTTACCCCAAACTATAAGTCCCTGTAAACAGAGCTGGGTGTGGTGTTGCACACCTTTAATCCCAACATTCCAGGGGGTAGTCTGGTCTACAAAAGGAGCTCCAGCCCACCCCCCACCCAGAAATCCTGTGAACAAGTTGTTTTGGTAACTTTCCTGAGAAAAATGTTTATAGCTGAAAATAAAACCATTTTGTAAAACAATTTGTGTGTTATTATGCTACTGACTTTTCTAGTCTGAGTTTCTCTTTTTGTGTCTAATCCAATGGTTTAATTTGATATCAAGGAATGGCTCCTGAATCCAAGATTATAAATATTTAATGAAATAAACAAATAAACTTAAAATGGTGATTTCAGTAAACTATTTCTGAAACTTGAAAATGGACTCTAACATTTTATCATAGATTATGGTGTGGTAACATCTGTGTGTCAGTGCTTTTACCTTTTCATCTGGAAGAAGCCATTATTATAATTTGGCATCTGCTGTACTCCATGGACCAATATAAAAATGCCAGTGCCAATAAAAACCCCTTAGATTTCTTTCATGGTAATTGTATGTTTGTTTTTTTAAAAACATTGACAAAATTTTTCAGAGTGGTAATACCATTTTACTTCTGGATTTCTAGTGCATAATCTAGTTCTGAAGATAACATACACTTAAATATTTAAAAACAGAATGCTGGATATGATATTTCATGCCTTTAATCCCAGGACTCAGAAAGCAGAGGCAGGTAGATCTCTGTGAGATAGAGGCCAGCCTGGTCTAGCAAGATGAGGCTACAGGGAGACACTGACTCCAAAAACAAGCAAACAAACAAACAAAAAAAAACCAAGACAAAACAAAAACAAACAAAAAATTAAAAGTAGAGATATACAAGGGCTGGAGAGATGACTCGGTGGTTAAGAGAATTTGGTGTTCTTGTGGAAGACCCAGAGTCAATTCCCAGCACCCAAAACAAGCAGCTCACAGTCACCTCTAACTCTGGTTCCAGAGGATCCATTGCCTTCTTCTGGCCTTCACCAGCACATACATGCACATGGTGTACATATAGACAAGCAGGTACACACACACACACACACACACACACACACACACACATACACACACATACACATATGCGTGCGCACAATTGAAATAATTTTAAAAATAGAGGTAGAAACATATCTATCATGTACTCAGTGCTTTGCAGTTACAGAAACACTATTAATACTCCTTTTTTGGTCAAATATGTGATTATTTTTAAGTTAATACATACAACATAAGGCTCACACACATAGATAATGAGCACATGCTGGGTTGGACTTGGAGAAATAGAAACTAAATACAGTCAGCAATTCATCTTTAAATTTTTAAAGATTTATTTTTATTTTATGTGTATGAGTGTATTGCCTGCATGTATGTAAGTGCACCCATGATATGCATGCCTGCAGAGGTCAGAAAAGGGCATCGGATCCCCTGGAACTGGAATTCCAGACAGTTGTTAGCCACCATGTGGGTACTGGGAACCAAACTTAGGTCCTCCTCAAGAGCAGTCAATGCTCTTAAACACTGAGCCATCTCTAGCCCCAAATATGAGATTCAAGGCAGGATCACTACGAGTACAAGGTCAAGTCTGAGTGGCATCAGGAAATCCCTTGCATTGAGTACTTCCCTTTCGCTCATCATCCCAATGTGTCTAGTGGCCTGAGTTCCACACAGCATGCCTACATTCAGACAAGAAGGAGGAAGAAGGAAGCATGAGAACAATGCCAGCTCTTTCTATTCGCTATCAACTTTACTAATTTCTGTTCCTAGAAGCTTTCTCTATTCTCACAGGAGTCGAATGTATTTGAAGACTCACAGATGAGATTGGAAATAGAATGCTATAACTGGACTAGGCCAGTGGCTTTCAATCACAGGCATCTTTTGCTCCCCAAAAACTATGATGCTTTCAAGAGACATGTTTTGGCTGTTATGAATGAGCACTGAGTCTCACTTTCATACAGGCAAAGGATGTTGGTAAATACCCTCAATGTGCAGGGCCAAAGGCACAATACAGAATTGCCTTGTCTGAAAGGGCAGTGCTTTCAAGGTCATAAAACTAATTCAGTCTGACACTTGAGAACCAAACCAATCTGATGTTCCTTAGTAAGGAAAGCAGGACAGGGATCAGTGGAAAACTAACAACACTACCTGCTGTGCCTCCTGACCTTCTGCAATACTGAAAACATTGCTTGACTCAGTTCCCAAGCAGAATATACAAAATGAGTCCTGATTTTCATGTGGTCTGTTTCGGAACAGACTGAAATACTACCCAATGAAGTTACTCTAGTCCCGTAATACCTCACTGTAATGAGACAGGGAGTCTAAACTGAGTGAGAAGTGAAACCATAATGCCTTATCTTGAAATGTGGCAGTCCTAGAAAGACTCACCTAGTCTATCTAACACACTATTTAGCTTCTGGAAACACTTGACTTCTGGAAGTTCCTGCTCACACTCGAGTCTCATAGGCTAGAGACCCCTGTGTTGGGATTCCCACACCTCCAAACCTGCCCTGTGCTGGTGCTCTCAGACAAGACTGGACTTTTGAGCTACAGTGGGACTGTTTGTGGCCCAGTGAGACACAACGAAAAGTGAAAGGTGCCACCAGGGTTGTTGCTCAGGAGCCAAACTCTGTGGGCCATGGCCTGTGCCATCAGATCACATTCTACCCAGTGGACCTGACTGGGTGAGTGAACCATTGTCCAAGACTTCAGGAACTGGTAAAATGCCCCAAGGCACCCAGCTAGATAGATGTACCCACTTGGTAGAAAAGGAGCCTGATCAACTCCCAGCAATTTTCATAATTGCCTCAGAGACTCACAGGAAGGGTTCTGTCTGGAGTTTGTTATGAAAGAGAGTGCATCAGATTTGAATGACTGTGTGTGTGGCTCCATAGTCGTTGAGACCACAGAGTCTGACTGGGCCCTAAGTGGTTCTGTAGAGAATTCATACAGGTGACTGGGGCATAGGCTCCTAGGAAGGAGGCCTCTTCTACAGAGTCCTGTCTAGATCCAGGGTTTGTATGGAACTGCGTATTGCTAAGAAGCATTGATGAACAGTCAGGCAAGTGAGGTGATCTTCATCCTGAGCAGTGTCTAGCCAGGGGATGTTTGTCTTTCTCCTGCCACACCTACACAGTGGGAGCTTCACCATGGGAGAGTCCTCACTGCCCTAGACTATATGACCAAAATGGCACTGAGATGATGTCAGGAAAACTGAGAACGTTCTGTGAATTAGAATGGCCAAATCTGATGTTGAGTGGCCCCCAGAAGGAACTTTGAATATGACCAAGATTAAAGCAGTATAACATCTGGTAACTGGGGAACAAGGCCACCCAGACCAATTCCCATACATAGATTCTTGGCTGCAAGTGGCATTGATTTGCCCCCCATCCCCCATATGGTTCTGTGCTAACTGGCAAGAACAATGTAAGATTCTCATGACAAGAATCCAGTCTCAGTCAAGAAATCAAGGCCCCACCAAGGCTATGTCAAAATTCCAGGGAGACCCAGATAAAGCCCAGATGCTACTGCCTACTCATGGCCCTCTGCCTAGGGCAGAGGCCCTGCATTATCCAGAGAGTTCAGCCAGCATCATTATCTCCCTAGAGGCCTGAGGACTATACTTCTCCACCTAGGGCAGAGCCACCTCGACTCCCTTACAAGAGTTGGACAGCACTGATATCTCTTGCAAGGCTCGAGGTACCCTCACAGAAAGGGAGGCATCTCCTTTCAGCCTAGAAACAGCAACCTGCCCTCTAAATGTCCCTGTGAGAAACCAGAGGTCCCCACCATGTGGCACTGGATGGGAGTGTCTATGGAGGATAGTCTGTTATCTGCTAACAGTCCTTCTCGACCAAGATCTGCTTAGTTGGAAGAGTATACTCCCTCATACTCTGAGAAACCCCAGGCTATGATAGATTTAGTAAAGTCTATCTGTCACAATCACTTCCCTACCTGGGGAGACTGTGGCCACACCTAACAATCCTCAGCACCACTGAGGAATGGTGATGTGTGATGACTGATGCCCAGGAATGGTTGATGGCTCATATTCCAATGGGGAAAGTGAATGCAGAGGAGTGGATCAGCAATACCTTCCCAGAAGAAGATCCCTGCTAGATCCCTAACTGAGAGGGTGATGGGGCCAGCCTGAAGTGGTACAGTCTCTCCTCAAAGGGACTAAGTGAAGGAGCAAAGAAACCCAAGAACATGTCCAAAACAACCGAGATCCTCCAAAACCCAGAGAGAGCCCTTCTGACTTTTATGACAGGCTATGTGAAGCCTCCCATCTGTACAACAACTGGGACACCGACACCCCTGAAAACCAGTGAATGGTGAATGTTGCCTTTGTGGGTCGGCACAAGGAGATATCCAACAAAGTTGTAAAACTGTAGGGGTTTGTAGGAATGAACAACACCCAACTGCTGGAGGTTGCTGAGAAAATATTGATGAACAGGGAATAGATCGCCAGAAGGGAAACTGACTAAAGGATGAACCAACAGCAGGTCTCTTGGCATCCCTTAAACCCAGGTGGGACCACACAGAAACTAGACCTAAGTCTAGTACTCCCCTCCAGAAGAATCAATGCACCTAGTGCAGGAAATTGGATGCTGGAAAAATGAATTTCTCAATATAAATACAGGAGAGAAGGGGAGAAACTCAGAGACCAAAATAGGCTCATACCCCATATCAGGTCAAATCCCCCGCTACCAACTTAAGCAGGCTGCAGAATCATCTCTGACTGAAACATCCCAGGCTCAATAAGACTAGTTCCCTGCAAGCCCACAGTCAAAATGACAGTCGGGGGCACTTGATGGACTTTAAGATGGACACTGATGCTGAATATTCGGTCCTTACCAGGTCAATGTTGCGTGGAGGTTAAGAACTGTAATAGGAACTACCAGAGTCCCAACCAAGCGTCCTTGCTGTGAGCCTCACAGTTGCATCATAAGAAGACACCAGATGAAACACGAATCCCTCTACCATTCAGAGTATCGAATACCTTTTCTAGGAAGAGAGCTATTGTCTTAGGGGCATGTACCACCTTCTCTGTTGATAATACAATCCTCTTTCAACTTCGAGTTCCCCTTGAAAACCATCTCTCTAATCCTGTCAGTCACAATTCCCCAAGAGGAAGAATGGATAATTCATTTTCACCCTGCCATAAGCACAAACTCTGTCCTGGAAACTTGGAGTTCCCATTTCATCAAAGTCTGGGCTGAAAGAAACCCATCTGGGCTGGTCACCAACCTCCACCTGTAGTAGTTGAGCTGACACCTGAACCCCATGCAATAAGTGTCTAACAATATCTCTTATCTTAAGAGGCTCAGGTTGGCTCTAAAAATGGAACACTCCACTG